GGGCCTTTTTTTGTTTTTTGAGACAGAGTCTTTCTCTGTTGCCCCAGGTGGAGTGTGGTAGCATCATCATAGCTCACTACAACCTCCAACTCCTGGGCACAAGGAATCCTCCTGCCTCAACACCTTTCCTCCCTTCTGAGTAGCTGGGACTACAGGTGTGCTCCACCGTGCCTGGCTAATTTTTTCTGTTTTTGCTAGAGAACGCGGTCTTGCTCTTGCTTAGGCTGGTCTTGAACTCCTGAGCTGAAGCGATCCTCCTGCCTCAACCTCCCAGAGTGTTAGGATTACAGGTGTGCACCACTGTGCCTGCCCAATCCAAGGATTTTATCTTGGTCTACAATACCCTACAAGATCTGACCCCTGGCTGCTTCTTCAGTTTTAGTTTATTCATTTTTTTCCCCCCTCAGTACCCTCCAGCCCCACTGGCCTTCTTGATGATCTTTAGCATTCCAGGCACATCTGTACCTCAGGGCTTTTTGCACTTGTTCCTTTTGCCTGGAATGATGTTCCTTTATTTATTTGCATGGCTCAATCCTTTATTTCATTTGGGTCTAGGATAAAATGCTGCCTCCAAGAATCCTTCCCTGGCTACTCTAAAGTAGTATCTACCACTCTTTATCCCCTTATCTTGCTTTATTTTTCATTATAGCTTTTATTGTCCTTACAATTGATTTATAGTTTTTATTTTTTATCTTTCCCACATTAAATGTAAGCTTCATGAGTGAATGTATTTTCTTAGCTTCTGTATTCCTAGTGCCTAAAACTATGTGCAGTATGTGATAGCTCTTCAATAAATATTTGTTGAATAGATGAATAAATATGTTTAGTGATTTTATATATTGGAGTGAAAGAATGTGTACATGTGTATGCTGATGCCTACAGGTGTAAGTACATAGAAGACCCTTGAGATACCTATTTGGAGACTCCAGATTTTAAAATACCACCACAGCACCTATTTTTCATCATGAAGGGCAATAAAATGTAACAGACTTTCAGACCCTTTTAGGAACTTAATGAGAGTCATTACAGTTGGTCTTCATTATTCATAGATTGTGTATTTGCACATTCACCTGGTTGCTAAAATTTATTTGTAACCCCCAGATCAATACTTGCAGAGCTTTTGTGGCCATTTATGGATATATTGAGGATGATCAAAAATTTGAGTTGCCCAATGTGCATATTGGCAGCTGAGGTCAAACAAAGTGACACTCTGCCTTCTTGTTTCAGCTGTCATTCTGTAAACTAAGTGTCCTTTTTGCAGTACATTTAGTGCCATGTTTTTTTACATTTTTATGCTTTTTCTTGGTGATTTGGCTGTTTAAAATGCCTCCAAGCATAGCGCCGAACTACTGTTTAGTGTTCCTAAGCACAAGAAGGCTGTAATTTGTCTTATGGACAAAACACATGTGTCAGATAAACTTCGTTTAGGCATGAGTTATCGTGCTGTTGTCTGTCATGTGAGTTCAATGTTAATAAAACAACAATATATATTAAATAAGGTGTCTTTAAAACTGAAGCACATATAAAACAAGTTTATGTATTAATTGGTTGGTAAAGTGTTGTGACCAGAGGCTAACAAGAACCTAACCCTGTATTACCCTTAGGAACCACGATCCAGTATTTGCTAATTTAGGATTTGTAGTGACTTTATAGAACATAACTAGTACAAATAAAGAGAATCTACTTTATATGTTTGGAAACTGGTAGACAATGTTCCATTGAGATCAGGATGCTGGGTGGTTGGTTAGGCTCATTTACTGCCACGTTCTATATATCTCATTCATGCTTTGGATTCAATTCAAAATTAAAAACTTTATTTATTATGGACTTCTGGCCATTTGAGACTGCTCAGGATATGAGAGAGAATAAACTCGACTAAATGGAAGAGTTGCAGCATAGTCTCAGGGTATTAGT